CCTCTGACAACCACTGATCTTTTTACTGTCTCCATAGTATTGCTGTTTCTATAATGTCATATAATTAGACCAATACAATACCTACCCTTTTTAGATTGGCTTCTATCACTTAGTAATATGCGTTGAAATTTCCTCCATGTCTTGACAGCTTATTTCTTTTTAGCACAGAATAATACTCCATTGTCTGAATGTACCACAATTTATTTTATTCATTCACCTACTGAACAACATTTTGGTTGCTTCCAAGTTTTATCAATTATGCATAAAGCTGCTATAAACATGTGTGTGCAGGTTCTTGTGTAGATTTAAGTTTCAACTCATACCGAGGACAGCAATTGCTGGATCGTATGGTTAAGAGTATGTTTAGTTTTTTCCTTTTTTTTTTTTTTGTCTTTATTACTGACCGGTAACGGGATTGCAACCCTCAGTGTCGCGCCCGTACCGGGGACCGGCAACGGGATCGCAACCATCGGTGCCGCGCCTGCACCGTGCTCAGCCAGTGAGCGGGAACCAGTCTCCACATGGGATCTGAACCCTCGGCGGGAGCACTGCCACACCCCCAAGCGGCACACTCTCCAGTGCGCCACCGGGCCGGCCCTGAGTATGTTTAGTTTTTTAAGAAAGTGCAATATCTTCCAAAGTAGCTGTACTATTTTGCATTCACACCAGCAATGAACAAGAGGTCCAATTGCTCCATATCCCGGCCAGCATTTGGTGTTCTCAGTGTTTTGGATTTTGGCCATTCTATTAGATGTATAGTGGTATCTCGTTTTAATTTAAGCACCTAGTTTTTAAACAACTACTTTTCACTCTGGGTTGTTGGGTTTTTTTTGGGGGGGGGGTCTCGTTTTAAAATTCTGCAGAGCAAATTATAAGCAGGTAATTTTTATTTCATTATTAAAAGTAATCTTATTTACAAACATTTCTTAAAACTAACTTTCTCTTTTTTTCCCTTTAAATACAGATAAATGCAGAGGGAACACCAGAAGAAGTTTTTCTTCAACTCTGCATTGCTATTGACTCTATTTTCTGAAAGCAAAAATGCATGTACGTTAAGGAGAGTGGAGACAGAGAAAAACATTAAAAGGTTCATCCCTTAAAAGTGTTTCAAGTTAAACCTTTTGTGTCCCCCTGAACCTGACATCACTGTTTGCTTCCCAGCTAGACATGTATGAGAAATATGGAAATCATGCATGGTGTATTTGGGACTATTGACTTTTCCTTCATACTTCAGACAGCTGTCTGCACTCACAGCATGCACACTTTTTATCATGTAGGTTGTACCTCAGAGCTAAGTCAGTATGTAAACAGCATTACAGTGCCGGTCTGTGTCAGTGGTGTCCCCAGGACTTGTTGGAGTCTGATCGTTTGGTTCTACACTCATCGTATCAGTGATGAGAGCATCTCATTAGTGAGCATCTGTAACTTCCCATCACATCTTCCTTCCTCTCTCCAAAATTTATATGCTGTTTCCAGATGGGCAGCAAACCTGGGCATCTTTATCAGGTACCTGACTCTGTTTCCTCAACTACTGTCCACTAGTGGCTAAGAGCCAGAGAGTGGGTTGACTAGACAATGCCATGTACACCCTATAGAGGCATCAAGCATGTCAAACTTGAAAGTAACTTTTTAAAAAGTGAAATTATATAGCTTTTCCAAACAGCAAAATCCAGGTTAGTCATCAGAAACATTCTCTATTTTTAGGAAACTGGCTATGTGTAATACTATCTTAATGACTAAGAGAACAAATTTGATAGATTGTATAACCTAGTCTCTTCTCTACATGGTGATACATTTCAGCAACTATAAATTAATATCAATTACCAAAAGTAATTTAAAAGCATAAGATGACTTGTTATTTCATTCATTGGACAAATATCAACTTAGAATTTTGATTTTAAATGATCACCCATTTACTTATTGCCAAGCAAGTATAAAAAATACAATAACAAAACTGATGCAGGTGAGGGGCATGTTAGTAAGCAATGTTTGGCAGATTCCAATGTTGTATTTGTCTCACATGGGCCCTTTCCAGGACTTTGCAAACCATACCATTCCCATATGCAAGACCGTGTTTCCTTGCATCAAACCAGTGAAGTTTGGGTTCTCTTTTGTGCAATCAGTTGTCAAATCAGAGCTTCTAATATATTCTACTGGAATAACTGCATCTTCCACTCAATCACTACAAACTACATGGCTTCAGTTTGCATGGATTTTTCTTCAATGTTTGTGCAGATAAGGATCTATTTCTGGGAACAGAATTGTATTTTTAAAGTCTTTTTTTTTTTTTCTTGAAATGGATATGTACAAATAAAAAAATGGAAGACAGGATAACTTTTTCTATTTATTTGTAACTCACATCATTCTGCAAAGCATTTGAAGCCTTACTCCAAACAGAATTAGAAGCAAATACAGTAATCGCCGAGATTTCTGATATGTTTATATGGTTTGAATTCTGGCCATACATCAGTTTTGAGCTATTACACAGAGAATTCTTCTTAATGTATTCATGATACACGGTAATTTTCATATTTCCTTTTTCTCTAGCACTCATTTTTTTTTTTTTTTTTTTTACATTCTGGCACTCATTCTTAAACAGAAATGTCACTGTTTGCTAAAGATGAAATTTCTTGGGTTACAATTATGCCTCTATTAACAAAAAGGGCAATATTCTCACAACTCACACAGTTGTCAAATACTTTATTACTACCCCAAGTTGTCACACTCGATAGAGGAGCATAAGGAATATTTGAGCAAATCAGAAAAAAAGGGTTACAGAATGAAAATTACCAGTTGTGCCAGAAAACATAAAATGACTCTTAGTAGGGATTAATGTTCTTCAAAGACATACCACATATTGGCAAACACGGTCCATGCCCACCACAGCTTTGACAGCTTGAGTAAGAGAAATAAGACAGCAGGAAGGCAGACAAGCCCAGCAATGGCTTTTATGGCTGTAGTTGGCAGCCGTCTTGAAAAAAATCAGCAAGGGTGAATGGCTTTGCCCCTGAAGAGTATCTAGAGGTGCAGATGAACTCTTCTACAGAACTGCTAAAATATATGTTCCTGATCTGAATGGCTTGAAATAACATTACTATTCTAAAATCATAGAATTTTAGAATAGGAAAGGACCTTAGAGATCTCTGCCTAGATAAAGATCTTGTGTGTATATAGAAGACATCACAACACAACCCCAACTCCTTTACAATAACCTACATTCAAGGCCACAACTGAGCTGGCCCTGTACTCTCTGACCCTATCAGTACTACTCTCCTCCTGCCCATTTGGCTCAAGCCACACTGGCCATCTTAATGTTGCCTGAATAAGCCAAGCTCTTTACTGGCTCAGGACCTTTGCCACTGCTATCCTTCCACTTCTTCATACAGATTATCCACACAGCGAATTCCCTCACTCCATTCAGGTCTCTATTCAAATGTACCCTTGTCATCAGGGCATTCTTTGATTATTCCATCTAAAATGGGAGACTGTTCCCCATTCTCCCATTCTTTATTTATTATTTTTGAGCATTATTTTTCTTCTCAGCATTTATTTCTGCCTAAAATCAAGTAATTTTTTAAAATTTACTTGTTTATTACTAGTCTTCTGCATTAGACTATAAGCTCTGTAAAGGCAGTTTTTTATCCCACAGCACCACACAGCAATTATCACTGAGAGCTAACATATTTAAATTCTCTATCTGTAGTTTTCTCATCTGTACAGTGGAGATCATAATAGTAACCAACTCACAGAGGAGTTATGAGGATTAAACAATACATATAAATCATTTATTAGTTCCTAGTACTCAATGAAAGGTGGTTCTTTGTCAATGTTTGAGTGTTTCACTTCCACAATTAGGACTAGGACCCAGAATTTTCACTCCAGTGTCCTTTCCATTACATCACTCTAAAACACTGGCAGAAAATCAAGACACATGGCCTAACTGGGCTCCCACAGAGGGCCAAAAACCTCCTCAGCCACCCAGAGTTGAACTACATCCTCCAGATAACATAGGATGCAATTGCCTTGTCCCCTCACAGCCCCATAAAGATCTCCTGAGGAAAGCATTCCAAGGATCTCATAGACACACTCAGGCACAGATGGCATCTCCTAACTTCCTAAAGAAAAAAATGTAACGCACCAAAACGTTGGTCATACAACCAACAAATATTTATTGAGAATATATTAAAAGTCGGGCCCTAGAGATACAGACAGACGTGGATGTTCCTGTTCTCATGAAGCTAAATGTGACACAACTCTCAAAAATTCACTTAATCGGTTACAGGGACTGTGGGAAAAAAAAAGTCATGTTTTTCCTGGGATCATAAAACAAAAGCACATTTTCCATCAAGGTAAGAAATAAAAACACTTTACAGCCTAAAAGGGACAATGCCTCCATAATCTTGTGGAAAAACCTACTTGTAATCTGGTAGCTCCCAATTCCATACAGTGCACCTAGAACAATGGACTTCAAACTTTGTTATCCATAGTAAGAAATAGTTTATATAGCATGCCACACATATATGAGGGTACTTCAAAAAGTTCATGGAAAGATTCATATTATCTTTTAATTCTATTTTGCCATCAACTTTTTAAAGTACCCTTGTATTTATAATTGAAAAAGAAATTTCACAAAACAATATATATCCTTACTACATGTGATGTACTATTTTCTCTTTCATTTTTTTTTTTTAATGTTCCTCACACCTCACACCTCAGTAAATTGTTGTGTTCTGTGATTTAATTTAAACAAAAGGGGGAAGGGGAGAAAAATGGGCAAGGTATTATTAAGGTAAGTGAGAAGCACCCAACATGCATTAAAAAAAAATCCTACCTGAGGCAGAAGACATAAGCCTTAGTCCAAACTTTGCCCAAAGCCTCATAACCACGTTTGCTGTCATATTAGAATATGTAATTTATATGTAGGTGTGTTTTTCTAATTCACAATGGCAGAACATTTCAGTGCTTTCCCCCTATCCACAGATATATGTTTCCCTATTCTGTGCTACAAACCTGGACATAGGCTCAGGTTTGTAATCGAGGAGTCATACCACACCAGGAAAAAAGAATGAAAAGCAACCCCTGCACACCCTCCATTCCTAACACCTTAGTGATGCCTGACACAAAGGCAATATTCTTGTTCGGGAAATAGGATAGTGAGGCACACACTGATTCTGGAGTAATCTGTCTAGGTTAAAGTCCAAGCATCACCACTTTACTAACTATATGACCTTCAGCAAGTTACTTCTCTGGCTAGATTGCCTCATAAGAAAACAGGATAATGAACCTGCCTCATAGGGTTGTTGAAAAGTAATTAGTTACTATATGCTTGCTTGGCACATACTAAGCACTAGATCAGTGTTTTCTATCATTATTAGTGTATAACACCAAAGGAAACCTCCTCTATCTAAACCTTACAGCAGTGGTTTAGGTATCATTAAAGTTCCTTCAGTTATTAGTAAATAACTTGAGCATAATATAACAGGAAATAGATCTGACCTACTAAATACCACTTAACAAGAAATGCTTTAACAAGTAGGCCTCTTACAGTCTGTTGTCCCTTACAGCCAATACTTCTTTGTAGGCAGATGAAAGGCCTACTTGCAAATGATAGCCCCGCCCATTCCTGCAACCCTCAAATTAAAACAACAAAAAATTACCTACTACTACCCTTTCGGACCTTTTAAAGCTATGGGGACTATTTGGTTGGAGCCAAAAAATGCAAAATAAACACATTTTCCGCTCAAGCAAAAAATAATCTTCTTTACCACTCAAAAGTCTCAAAACCTTTGCCCTTGAAAAATGCATTCAATGGGTTTATTTTGTCTATTCTGTTTATATAACAATTGTATCACTCATAGCCCTCTTCCAAAGCATAACTTCCTACTTTATGGAATTTTTGAACAATTCACCAAAACTAACTGGTATTATTTCTATACAAACACAGAATTTACAGAAGTTACCATCAAGTGCTACTGTCCTGCCTAATTATGGGTTGAA